AACCTAAGAGCGATGGCCTCCAACCTAAGAGCGATGGCCTCCAACCTCAGAGCGATGGCCTCCAACCTCAGAGCGAAGGCCTCCAACCCAAGAGCGATGGCCTCCAACCTAAGAGCGAAGGCCTCCAACCTAAGAGCGATGGCCTCCAACCTAGAAGCGATGGCCTCCAACCTAAGAGCAATGGCCTCCAACCTAAGAGCGAAGGCCTCCAACCCAAGAGCGATGGCCTCCAACCTAAGAACAATGGCCTCCAACCTAAGAGCGATGGCCTCCAACCTAAGAGCGATGGCCCCCAGCCTCCAACCTAGAAGCGATGGCCTCCAACTTAAGAGTGGTGGTCTGGCCTGCAACCTAAGAGCGATGGCCTCCAACCTAAGAGAGATGGCCTCCAACCTAAGAGTGATGGCCTAAGAGTGATGGCCTCCAACCTAAGAGCGATGGCCTCCAACGTACAGGAGCGATGGCCTCCAACGTACAAGAGCGATGGCCTCCAACGTACAAGAGCGATGGCCTCCAACCTCAGAGCGATGGCCCTAAGAGTGATGGCCTCCAACCTAAGAGCGATGGCCTCCAACCTAAGAGCGATGGACTCCAACCTAAAAGCGATGGCCTCCAACCTAAGAGCGATGGCCTCCAACCTCAGAGCAATGGCCTCCAACCTCAGAGCGATGCTCCAACCTAAGAGCGATGGCCTCCAACCTAAGAGCAATGGCCTCCAACCTAAGAGCGATGGCCTCCAACCTAGAAGAGATAGCCTCCAGCTTAGATCATGGTCTTGGGAAGCTTCCGGATCTGAGGTCCTGACATATTCCAGTACTGCACCCAACTTGGCCTAGCCATTCCACTTGATGTGTCTAAGTCCAGAGCAAGCGTTTCCTCCGGCCACTTGAGAACAGGTACCAACCAGGAGTTGGATTTACATCTGGAGTGATATAAAACCTCAAGTGTGTGTGCAGTGCAAAGAAAAACAAATCACTTCACCTGAAAGATATCCCGAACGAAAACCGTTCAACCACTAAACTGAGTTACTCGCTTATAGATGCGTCCAAGTCTCCAGCCCTTCACACCCCCTTCGTCTATGACTGGGTAAAAACGGCAACAAGTTGAGTCGGCCGGAAAACCAAGAAAACGGTAAATCCATCTCCTTCTTGGACACACAGAGACAGCACGCTTGAGACCCAGGACCTCTGCCTCCTCCACATCCTCCGCTTGAAAAATCTAAACAAGCGCGAGTGTTGTTCCTATATATATAGAAAATGTAGTTTCACATTATATAGTGTGCTTGAGCTGCTTGAGCACCATTGAGCACAAAAAACATTCGTGCCACACTCGTGCCTAACCTCCCTCCAAACACCCTGTTCCCAAAAACAAATCCATGGGGCCAGGCATGAGCTCCGCCCATGTGTTTGCCATCTGAGACCACCAACCGCAGCAAGAAACCGGAATCGACTTCGACCCCACGTCTCGGTCGAGCTTGGCGCCTGGGCGGTCATCCGGAAGAGCTTGGCGAAATTTCCCACGGAGGCGCCCTGTCGAAATCGGGAGTGTTTGGGTTCGTATTTTTTTCTCATTACACTTAATTCTAATTAAATTCTACTTACTTATTGTTCCTAGTAGCGTTCTTGTTCCTAGTAGATCCTAGTAGTAAGGCACTTGTTACTAGAAGCGTTGCACTTGTTCCTAGTAGCGATGCCAGGAGCCGCTAGTAGCGTCTTTGCTCCTGGGTGTTTGGGTTCAATGGTTCGATGGAGGGAGTGCTAAAAAGAGGAACAGGGAGGATGAATGGATGGGTTCGGTCGCTAGTCAAAACGAAGACTCCTTCTGCTGACTGATGGCTCCTCCAAACAGCGACAGCGATAAAACCGAATGACGTTAGTGCTTGGGTGTTCAAGGGTCCAGTGGCGTTGATCTTCGCTCAAAAGGTGAGGGCAAACTCGGAAGGTTTCTCCATGCTGCATTGCTTCTTTTCATACAACAGTGTTGATCAAAGCAATGTTATTCCTCCCAAAACGGGGGGCCCAAACGGGGCCATCGGGCCCATCGTCCGCTTCGGAGCAGACCGTTTTGCACTTGTTTCCCATCAGAAAGTGACTTTTTTGGTGGCCTCAAGTGGGTGCACAAGTACTAGAAGCTCTTGATCCACAGCCATGTCAGTCACCACAAGGAAAGCGGATTCAAGGCAACTCCACCAGCCTTGGTGATGGTGCTTAGATCAATGGGTCCCAGTTCCCGAGTCTGCCTGAAGCCGGCGCATCGGCGAGTGTGGAGAAGTCGTTTCAAAGACTTCACCCTGCTCCAGCCATATCGCTAGAAGCTTCGGGGAAGAAGAAAACTCCAATCTACAAGCCAAAGTTGTGGAAAGGGCACCCTTCATTTTGGGACAAACCTATAGATAGGCCGTGGCCCCTGTCCAAGCACATCGAGGTGTGAGAAGGGGAGGAGGTGCCCGATTTGCCGGTTCCGCTCTGCACGTGCGTTTCAGAGCTTCGGAGTTTTCCGGAAAAAAACACAGCAAAATCGTGAGGTTTGAGGTGGATTGAATTATTTGTTTAAGTGGCGAATTCTGTTTGCCTTAGATAGTCCAAGCTGTGGTATCCAAACATTTCTATCGTGTCCTCAAGCATGTACTAAATTGATCAAGAAAAACAAAAAGTTTCCGGTTTGAGAGTAGGTCGTGGATTCGTGTGGAACAAGGACTGTGGGTGGCGGCGGCATTTCTCTCTAGAAACCCACAAGGTCTTCAGATCCCTTCAAACTATCCCAAAACCTGGGTTCAAAAAACATATACCCAAAACCGCTCGCACTCCAAAAGGCCTTGGCCCCCCAAAAAGTGCCTCTCCACCTCTCTCAGAGTGTCCTGGAGCGAAAACCGTGACTTTTGCGGAGCTCGGAGCCCTTGGGGTCAAGCAAGGCGCTCTGATGTGCCCAGTGTCTTTTTCAACCTCCCATGTTGTCTCAACCTGCAATTTGAATGCTGCGTCCTCTAGATAGATAGATAGATAGATAGATAAATAGATCGATGGATGGATGGATAGATAGATAGACGGTCAATGTGAAACATCCAGCTGCACAGCTAGAACAGAATAGAAGTGACTAGAATAGAATAGAGTTAGAATAGAATAGACCCGAATAGAACAGATGGACAGATAGATGCATAGATAGATAGAAGGATGGAAGGATGGAAGGATGGAAGGAAGGAAGGAAGGAAGGAAGGAAGGAAGGAGGGAGCGAGCGATAGATGGATAGACAGACAGATAGGTAGATAGACAGACAGATAGGTAGATAGATAGATAGATAGCAAAAACAGAATAGACTCGGTAGATTAGATAGGTTAAGGTAAATAAGATGATAGGATGTAGGCAAGAAAAAGAGAATAGAATAGAATGGAATGGACTAGACCCGAAGAGAATAGAAAAGAGAAGTGTAGAATAGATTAGATAGACTCGAAAGGCATAGATGAGAATAGGGTAGCAAAGACTAGAATAGAAGAGAACAGAAAAAATAGATACTAGCATAGAAGAATAGAATAGATTAGAATAGAACAGAATAGATAGACAAATGGCTAGATGGATAGAAAGATGGATAAGTAAATATACATGGAGGGAAGAAAGAGAGAGAGAGAGAAAGCGAATGAGAGAGAGAAAGAGAGAGAGAGAGAAAGAGAAAGAGAGAGAGAGAGAGAGAAAGAGAGAGAGAGAGAGGGAGAGAAAGAAAGAGAGATCGAGAGAGAAAGAGAGATCGAGAGAGAGAGAGAGAGAGAGATCGAGATAGTTAGCTAGATAGATGGATGGATGGATGGATGAATGAATGGATGGCTAGCTAGCTAGCTAGCTAGCTGGACGGATGGATGGATGGATGGATGGATAGATAGGTATATAGGTAAACCAGAGGGCATGCAAGGTGGTCCTGAGCTATCGCAAGCAAGGGATAGACGTCTTCGCTGGCACCTGCCTTACCTCTGCTTCAGGCGCCCCCTGCTGTAAGCCACGAGCGGTACCTATCCAGGGTCCAATTTCAGTAGAGGAGCGTCTGACACCAAGAGTTCCATGCGCTGCGCCGTCTTTCAGTCAACTGTGGGAGGCTTGGGATCACCCAAGTGACAAAGCCGCTTCTCCCTTGAGTTCGCAAGAGTGTTCTTCCATGTTGGACACGAGGAGGGCCTGGAAAGTTGCCTGAGCTCCGACAATTTGCTGGTGATTGGAGGAGATCCGACTCTGTCACCCCCAAAACACACAGTATATCACCTCCTAGAAAAAGTGCCATAAACTCATTTTTAAATGGAAACTCATCTTTGATGGGGTCCGAAGCCTCTAAAATCTTCTACCGGCGCGTGTTTCTTGAAGCGAGGAAATGCTCTCGTCTGATTGCTGCAACTCTCCTGATTGATGCTCTCTGGATCCAAGGGGACCTTCATCCTCCGCTTGGCTGGCAGCCTCAGCTCCATCCAACACTGGCATCATCTTGTCGGAACAGGCATTGTCAGGACTTCTGGCACACCAAGGCCGGGAAAAAGCACACCGATCACCTCAGAGATCACCCAAGATGATGAACTGCTGATGATCAACCTCCTAAAAAAAGTTTCTCAAATGGTTTTTGTGGCGTTGACAGCTGGTATGCTGCCACTCAGCCCCCGGGCTGCTGCAACACATCCTTTTTCAACCGCCTGGCATGGATGGTATTGGGTGCTCACAGAAACCAGATGTAGCGGGCACGACAAGCTCCAAAAAAGGGAATGGAGCCGATCGCAACGCTCCGCAAGGCTGTGAGCAATAGCGAGTGGTCTCATCGGCAGTAGAATATGTACAATAGGAGAGCTAAAAAAAGGCCTTGCGTTGTTTGTTGTGCCTCTCTCCTGCCCCCGTCCATCGATTCTCAATTGGGAGAGATAGGATTAGGAGGCAAAAGCATGCACAAGCTATATAAACATGACTCGTTGAGGGCAACGCAATTCGACTTAAGAGGTCTATCTTATCTTATCGTATCTGATCTTATCTAACTAACTATCTTATCAATCTAACTAACTATCTATCTAAATTAGATTTTAGGTACAATATGGTACAATGTCCCTTAGAGTCAGACCCTGTGGACGGCAGCAGCATGGGTCGCCGAAACACAATGGAATTCCGGGCGCCGTTCGAAAGGTCGTGAAAGTCGGGTCGCCCGAAACCACATTTTCTTGCGCGCAGTTTGCAGGCAGCAGCTAGCTGCTTGAGCATCTCATCAGGTGTGGCACAGCCATTGAACGTGATTACCCCACCCCACCCACACCCCCTACCCCAAATGCGGATAGCGTAGCGCGTCCAAATCGTACCTGAGAATTAAAGAAGCCTCGTATAAGAGAACATGCCTGATGAAGAGACATCAAGTGGCCACACAACACATTGTGCGCTGCATTCAAAACTCTGATTGATGCAGCCCACCAAAGCTCCAACCCCTGCGGAGCCGGAACACCAGCTATGCGTAGAACTAGGATGCACGCGACGCCCTCCATGGACATATCGTGATCTATCACCGTCCCATAAACTGAACACATGTTGACATGCTCTTGTGCAATATGTTCAAGTGTTTAAGATTCAAACTGAACAGTTAAAAGAACATCTTGCTGGATGTGTGCTTCTCTTACATCTCTGTCCAATATACCAAACAGCATCCAACATGTGTCGTGTAGAGGACGACAACGGCATGAACCAGGAAGAATCCTTGGAAAAATGGGCAGACAAAAAAATGTCGTGTCGTTGTTCACAGGCCCCTGAAGACGCTTTAGGCAACCGTCTATCTATCTATCTATCTATCTCTATCTCTATCTCTATCTCTATCTCTCTCTCTCTATCTCTATCTCTATCTCTATCCATCCATCTATCTATCTCCTCCCGTCCTTCCTTCTTGTCCCCAAAAACCTGATCAGTCCAGCCTGATCATCACCGAGCCCAGAAGACCTGACAAACAGTTCGTGTCTTTCGTGTTCAAACAATTACTTATTATATAGCTCAAACATGTCCACTTGTTGGTAGTTATGCTTATATATGGCAAATGGCCACTTACCAGTTAAAAAATACTTGCAATGCTGAGCAAACACTCAGATACTTTTTGAGAACTGGTTGTGATCCAAAACCCCCAAAACCCTTGTTCAAAAGACTGGCTTTCGGAAACCTGAGCTTCAATACCACATGTGACGTTGTTTGACACATCACCAGACTCACACCCAAACAAAGCAAACCAACATCGCACCATGTTTTCCTTCATCTTCACGTCTTCCACTCCGAAGGGTTCCGGAAGCAGGAGCCCCGGCTGTTGAGTTCTGCAGGGCGCTGGGCACCGTTCCATTTCACCGTGGTGCGGCCACCGAAGCGCAGGGTCCTCAACTTCACCCCAGGTCAACAAGATTTCACAGTGATTGCCAAAACATACCAAAACTATTCTTTATACAGTGATGACCTTTGTCAAAAAGAAAGGTTATGAAAATCAGTTCTGGTTGTTCTTTAGATCATGGGACGGTAATTAGACCCTGGGCATTGCATTCCGGTGTCTGAACCGAAGAAGAAGTCAACTGTTGGAACTCTAGAACTGCAAAAGGGTGGTGGTGTGATAGAAGAATGAGTTGGAGTTGGGGGATAGGAAGGCCAGGCTGACAGTCCCCATCTTTGATGGACTGTTCGTTCCTGAAAGGAAAGGATACAAGGAACACAAATACTTTGAAAGCAACAACGGATGTCTTAACTTAACGTGTCTCATCTGGCCCACTCCCAAGAGTGGACAATTTGGCTGGTGAAAATCATAACGAACTCAAACTTGCCAAACCACTGAGAAAGGCCGGCAAATATAAAACCAGTGAGCTTGTTGATGGGTACCAAGCCCCCAAAACAGCAGCTCAACCTCGGACACCATCCGCCTCAGCCTAGACACCTCTGCCCTGGCTTGGCTTCCACACTGCTTGTAGCTGTAGCGCTCAGCGAACTGCGAAAAACTTGGCATCTCCGACGGCATCAGTGCCTCCATGGCTTTCTCGGTGGACGGACGGGACCAACGGACCCACGGTCATCTGCTGAGCAGCCAGTCACGTACGTTCCAGGCCGAACGTACCGTCCGTTTCTCAGGCCCACAGGACAAAGATGCGAAGTCACAATGAGGAGATTCTTGTTACTAGTAGCAATGGCCTCCAACCTAGTAGCTTCCTGTTACTAGTAGTAATGCCCTTGTTACTAGTAGCGATGCACTTGCTACTAGTAGCTTCTTGCCCTGTTTCGGTCTTCCGGCTCGTCCCTACAGTGAGACCCCACGTTGAACATCGTTGAACAAAATGTGTGCTGTGCACGATGTTTTGGCGCAACCTTCCTCCTCTGAAGATCTCAGAAGCATGGCTGTACTTCAAGCTCATAAGCATGCTTGCTGCTTTATGATGCTTTGTATAGAGTTCTCGCTTGTATCTGGCCTAGCACCGCCAGTCGATCGAACTGCAGCGGATGCGTCAGCCGCGCATGGTACCAGTAGCGGTCTTTCGCTTGGTACTCGTCGGCGCATCTCTCACGTTCTTGTTGCCCGCTTAGGGCAGAAGGGCTTGCGGGAGATTGTTCATCCAGACGGCTTGGCTAGTGCAAGAAGACACATAATTTGTCAGTTCAAATCATACCACTGCTCGCCGCGTCTTCACGTTGGGTTTCGCCCCTTGCTCTTCGGGTTAAAGGACGCCCCTGAAATTGTCTGACGATATACCGCGCCTTTACTACTTGGGCGGGTGATCCTGAAGGCTGAGGTGCTGGAGATGTTGGAGGTTTGGTCACCAACACTGATTCTCAACTGGCTGAAGCTTTGTCATTGCCGAATGCCCAGTGAATGTTGCTCGCTTCCAAATCACGAAGCAGCACCTTTGAGGATGTCTTAGGCTGTGACCACTCTCCCCACGTACCAAGTTCTAGGTCGTCTGCTCGTGCTACGGCTACGATGTTCAGAAGAGCAGCCGAAGTGCTAGTGGAGGTTTAAGGGCTGCGTGCCAAGGAGCAGAACCGATGGGGTTCTAATCCCATACCACATGGTGGTCTGTGCAACCGCGACCTCTTTGATTTTGTTTGACGAAGTTCTTGCCACAGCACGTACCACCTATAGTCGGGCATTTCGCCCGAAGTGACACCCACTGCTTGGGATTGATCCGACCGTGTTGCGCATCAAGGAGGAAGTGTTGGTCAACTAAAGGCCAGCATCACAAAACAATTTTGTTGTTTGAAGGGAACCTAGCAAAACTGTGTTGAAAAGGACGACTGGCTTTGCAAAGAGGGCAAATGCTGCTCAAAGCCAACCGAACTATCAGAGAGGCGCATGCGCATTCATGCACAACATTCAAGGTCATCGCTACCGTGCGCAATCTTCTTTGAGCGAAATCTTCCCTCGAGCACGAAATGAAGGTACAGCCAACTGCACCGACACCGTGTCCAAAGCGCCCACACAGTTCCACAACACCTGGAACAGCACCTGCACCTACACTCCCCAAAGCGCCCATGATCAACAAAGGGTATCTGCCACCCTTGCCTCCAGCTGTGTGTAGAGCTCTGAGGCTCGATTCACCGCTGGAGTGCCACCTCACCAATGTGTTAAACGCACCGCGAACGAAGTGAACAAAGCCAGGAACCCTGAGGAACCAATATGAATCAACTAGACCATACCTGTGAAGTCCCTGGCATCCCCCCTTTTCGTGGGACTAAAGAGTATGTTCCTCCACAAGCCAGGCCATGAAACGGGCGGAAAGAGCCAGGTGTGCCCCGCGAACATCAGTGGCCACATCGGGAGTTGTTGTATCTGTGTACAATATGACCACAGAAAGTCGAGGTGCTGACGCGCAGCTTGTCAAGTGACGCGCAGGTTGTCAAGCGCTTTGTCCACCGATGGGTCCACCAACTCATCCTTGACACTCGCTGCAATGGATTTATTTCTCGCCGGGAAGGCTCGTTCACTCTTTGGTAGCCCTCCTTTCAAGGCCCTTGGCCGTCACCATGGTGCCCGAATTCAGCCCGGTGGGAGGGGCGCACCTGAAAGAGGATAGGTGTTAACATCATAGGTGACCCAAAACTAAATGGTACAGGTCAGGTGTTGCTACAGGTCCGTGAGATGCGACGTCTGTTGCCCAGGTCTGGGTTTGTGGGAGAATCCATCCCAAGCGAGTTCATCCCAAGCCACTCAGGAGAACCACACGACGTGCTGCTTTGCAAATGCCAACCTTAAACATCGGCGCAGTTCGCGGGTGAGAGAACTCTCCCAGGCTACTGAAACAAGAAATGGAAGCCGGCAATTTCAAATCGCTACAATGAGCAAGCAATGAGGAAGCTGTATGCAGGATGTTCCGAACATCCTCACCAACCCGGAATCCGTTCCATCAACTTGCCGTTCCATGTACGTGTGGAACCGGTGAACTAGGACCAGCACAACAACCTTAGTCCTCTGACTCGTGGATTCCTGTGCGAAAAGAAGGAACCCTGGATGGGGTCACCGAAAACCCGTCTTTTTGGCCCAATTGGATGGAAGGAAAACAAGGGTGCCTCAAATCAACTTGAAAGGAGGCTGACTTGATTTATTAATATCAGTAATCATTACTATTACTCTAGAAGAGGCACTGAACAAATCTGAAGAGACGCGGTTTTCAGCAGCAAATTCCACCTTCACCTTTCACCGACCAGAGAACTCGTCCATCAGCAGCTTCTTTGGTCATCTCTTCTTGAGCAGCGACCTCAGTCAGTACCTTCTCCAGTCCAGACACCCCCGACACCCAGGTAGTGACGACCAACGGTCCTTGATACTCTGAGATTCATCCACAACGACAACCAGGTAGTCACGACCTCACATCATTCCCCAAGCACAGCGAGGTCGTTTTTACGGCCGAAATGGTCCGGAGACTCGTGCGGTTGTTTGTTTCGGGTGTGGGGCACCTGGCTGGAGTCACCTGGCGGGTAGTCATGTTTGTGGGACGATGTGAAAATAATTACAGTAAGATAAAACAAGAAGACTTGGTGAGACTTGGTGGCCAACTGCACCTGGGAGAGGTGGAGCCCAAATGGCTCTCCCAAAGGTGCAAAAGCTCTTTCCTTTGATAGGATAGGAGAATTTGATGCTCTCAGTCAGTCTCCCATACACCCATAGGGCTGCTCAGGAAGTATCAAGTATCCAAAGCAGAATAGCAAGAATGTATTTACCGACTACTCTCGGAATGGGAATGGATAGACCTAAAAGAATGCAGCTCTTGCAGTTGACGGTACCTGTTTAGGATCTTCAACGGAAATTCACTACCCAACAAAAAGCATTAAAAAAGATGGAACCCAGGAGCATTTGCTTCTCTTGGCCCCTCCCCTGATGTTTGAACGTGTTTGTTGTTCTGTTTGAACACTTCAGGCGATGATATCCAAAACACGTGACCTGCGCAGGCTTTTGGGATAGCCCAACCTCGGGGCTCCGCGCCGTCACTGCGACGTCGCAGGCGTTCACAGCGCCGGAGCAGGTCATAGGTACAGACCTGGGGGGCCAAATGGATGTTCTTTGGTGTTCTGTATTGAACCGTTTCCGCCCTTTCCTTGGTGTTTTATGTCGAAATGTTGGGTTCCAAATGTTGCTCCGGTATTACTTGAGGATCTGGGGCGAACAAAAGATCTGTGCAGGCTCACATTGATGGCTCTGCAAGATCCTGTTCGTCGGCAGATCGGCCAGTAGGAATACTGTGGGCAAATGAGCACGACGACATGGAATGGGCAATTGAACCTGCCAAGACTGAGATACAGTTTGACTTGAGAGCCTTTCAGAGGAGCTCATGTGCTACACAAGGTTAACCGGATCTGATCTGAAAGTGTGTCAAGTGTGATATGGACATATATTGGACCATCATCATGGATGATGTCTACGTGGCTTTTTGCAAATTGCAGAAACACCCGGGCGTCAACACTTATCACTTAGGTCATCCAGATGTTCAGACCTTTTCCACTGATGGTCATCGCCACCGATGGTCATCGCCTGCTCGATCGCGTCAGTCTCAGAATCTGGCCACGAGTTTCGCCGATTTGCAGACCTTGTCTTTGCTGTTCCTGGCCGTCGCACCAGACGCCCAGAAAGCAATGCCAAAATCGGATTGAAGCAAACAACTGCCCTTGGCCACTGCATTGTCTGCGGCTAGGGCCGTTTTCTTCTTTGGATAAAAGATAATTGTACTTACTGGCCTCAGCACAAGAAGACTTAAGAAAAGCATTGCCGATTGACCCCATCTGACCATCCTCCCCCACCCTTTTGTTGGACAGGTTCGCCTCACGACGTGCACGTCCTGCCCATCATCCCCCACTAGGTGGGGCAGCCACTGGGCGGCCTGGCAAGAACAACATTGCCAATGACAACCATGCTAGGGAAGTATAAAGTTTGAAGTCATCCTCAAAGCCATCCCAAAGCCATTCCAAGGCATCGATCAAGAACATCCAGAACCGCTCTAAACAGGCCATGCTGGTAACCTCAAGCTTCACATCTCTAGAGTCGACAAACACCTCATGGCCACCGTGACCTCCTCATGTTCGGGTGCTACCCGGCCTGATCCCGCCACACGAAGCGCAAGGAGGACGGCGCCACCACCAGGAGCGGCCACTCGGCCTCCAAGGGCGAAGAGACTGTGGAGCCATGTGCGGCGAGCTACATGTGGATCCATCTCAGCAACCAGGACCACGTCTGACACAGCTGGGCAAAACAGCTGGGCAACCACATGAGTATGTATGACATTCAACTACCCACTGGGCAGAACTGACACAACTGGTGGGAATTCTCCGTGACCCCTTTTTGGACGTCGATGCAGGGTGCACCCGGAAGCCGCAGCCTCTCATGGGCAAAAATTGGCATCTTCCATCTCGATCAACTGGGGCGTTCAAATAATGCTCTGCACCTCCGTGGGCAACACCACAATGGCGTGGCACCTGTTACTACTAGTAAGGCACCTGTTACTACTAGCGTGGCACTTGTTTCTAATAGCTTCTTGTTACTACTAGTAAGGCACCTGTTACTACTAGCGTGGCACTTGTTACTATTGGAAATTCGCAGATGTGTGTACGTCGAATTCGGGACTTTCACTGCGGGGCGCTTTCACCCAGCAGAAGAGGCCGCGCTGCGTCTCAAGCTGAACGGCGTTATTCCTGACTTAGTCAGTTTAGCATCATCCGTCTCAAGGCCATCAAGTTTCCTACACTGCACTGTTCTGCAGTGGGGCAAATGCACATGCAAAAGAAATCAAAGGTCTGCTGGCACCTCCGTGTTTTGCACCTCCATGGGCAGCACGAGCAACATGATGGTTTGGTGCTCTTTCGAATTCAGGCTGGCGCCCCCTCCGGTCCGCGTCCAAAGAGAAAGGGTTTTCCATCGGACCTAGTCAAACCCGGAGGGCTCCGCACCGTCCGCAAGAGAAGCGATGGGGAAGCCATGGGGGCGCTTTGCGCGCTGACCCACCCCAACCGGTCATGTCGGTGTCCTTTGCCGAGCCAACAGTATCACCGGTCTTGTGGGACATGGGTCCACACTTCTTGGGCTGACTGCCAGGGATAGAAATGCAGCAATGAAGAGCAGCGCGCATATCATAGAATTCAATGATGATGTCACCGCCGCAGCTAAAAATCCGTGCAATCTCACCAAACCTCTCGAAGCCTCTCTCCTGCCGTGGAAGATTTGCAAACTGGGAGCTTGACCAACTCACCGCACGGAAATCATCCATCCCTGCCTGGGCAGGCCAAGCAAAGGGTTTTGTGTGCTGCACGACCCGCTGGGCCACGCGCACATCGTAGAAGGTCACAAAAAGGAGCCCAACTGTCGTCCCCAAGGACATATCCAACCGCGCCACATCACCAATCGTTGCAAAGACCTCGGCAGCTTCTGCAACGGTGGTTGGGCACTTATCTTTGTGAAACAAAACTGCTACAGTGTTTGAAACCTGTAGGCTCGCCATACAAATTCGTGTGATGGGCCCAGTGTTGGCCGCACCTGCAACACAAACCGGAACGAGGACCTGGACAGGTTGACCTGGAAAAACTCCCAAAAAAACTGACTGAGCAATCTTGAGCCAAAATGCGCAGCCAAACAG